GATTATGTGATCAGAACAGAGAACCATTCTATCTGTCTGGCCAAGAAATGCCCCTTTCCTGTTTTTGCTCCCCATCTGTGATCATTTAACATTTTGTTATGAGAAAGATTGGAAACCTGGTCTAGGCCTCTTTACACTGGTCTATCGAACTCCCAAGAGATCAATATATCAAAAGGTCTATCAACCAGGAAGCCTGTGTTTGGTGGTGTGTACATTAGGGTGGATTTACTGGAGATATTATAAAACAAAGAAACCATGTGAGATATATTATCTCACACACAATGTGTAATACAGGGTAGGAGAGACTTTACAAGAACTTGGTTTTAGGAAGGAGAAAGATTCAGAGGTACAATAGCATTGAGAACATTCTGGATTGGGTTTGTTTACTTTGTATTTCAAATCAGCTGTTCAATCACCATCTGGAGGAATGGAGATATGTTTGACATAGGTACATCAAATTTCTATTTCTCTAATAAAACGATCAATCTCCTGAGAGAGTGATAGCCCTATGAAATAATGTTATAGATAGTGCCATCTAGAAGTTGTCCAGATAATAATAAAAAATCCGTAATCCTATTGGAAGTCTTCTTGTTGTTAGTTGCAAAGTCGTGTCTGACCCATCATGACCCCATGGACAATGTTCCTTCAGGCCTTCCTGTCCTCTACCATCTTCTGGAGTCCATTTAAGCCCACACCTACTGCTTCAATGACTCCATCCAGCCACCTCATTCTCTGTCGCCCCCTTTTTGTTGTTAGTTGTGCAGTTGTGTCCGACCCATCACGACCCCATGGACAACATTCCTCCAGGCCTTCCTGTCCTCTACCATATTCTGGAGTCCATTTAAGCTCACGCCTACTGCTTCAATGACTCCAGCCAGTCACCTCATTCTCTCTTGTCGCCTTCTTCTATTGCCCTCAATCTTTCCCAGCATTAGGCTCTTCTCCAGTGAGTCCTTCCTTCTCATTAAGTGGCCAAAGTATTTGAGTTTCATCTTCAGGATCTGGCCTTCTAAACAGCAGTCAGAGTTGATCTCCTCTAGGATTGACCGATTTGATCACCTGGCAGTCCAAGAGACTGGCAGGAGTCTTCTTGGAAGTGTTACACAGCAAATAGCAGAAATTATGGTGTATCCTGAACATCTCCCTGTTCTATGTTCAAGAAGATTGTTAGTTGGTAAAGCCAGTAGGCCATTTACCATTCACTGCCTGAAACCACCCTGCATCGAATAGGCTTAGGATAGCAGCACTCCCTAGGCTGGTTACTGAAGGATGATAAAGGTAGGGCAGTGTTTGTCAACTTTGGCAAATTTAAGATATATGAACTTCAATTCCCAGAATTCCCCAGTCAGAAAAAGACTGCACTCCTAATCTCTATGTAATCATCTTTTCGAATTGGAGGAATGCCTAAAATATCTTCTGAGTTTATATAGGTTATATCTGCACTTCAGATTGGCCATGCTTGTCATAGAGCATCAAGCATGCAAAATAAAGGAAGGTTGGAAAAAAGAGATAAACAAGAGCCAAATTGGAGGCAAGCAAAACACCACATAATTCCATCAGGGAATGGGAATACAAATACTCAACTGATCAAGCGTACAGTGTAATAAAACTGGATGAAGTTTATATAGTAGAAATTTAAAAAAAATACTGAGGGATACTGAAATGCTGAGATCAAAAAGGGTTAGTTCTACAAAAAAGGGGAAAAGATGTAATAACTTAAGTTATGTAGAAGAAGAAATACATAAAGAATTACAAAAATATTAAATCAAAGGATGAACCAAGAAGCCTGTTTCAAATGAATCTTGTTCCTCAACTTGAAAACATCCATGGCGAAAAAGATAAAAGCGAGGCACATTTTTAACTGGGAAGATGTGGGGAATGGAAACATAATGATCTTATTTATCTGAATACAGTCATTAACAGTAAAACATGAAAGAAAGTTCACAGGAAATAAAGAGAGAGTCAAGAATAAATGTTGTGGAAAGCCGTTAGAAAAAAAAATGGAAATACTAATGGAAAGAAAGGAATGTTTAAAGAGTTAACATCTGGATTTTTGTTTGATTTGGCTTAATTTTTTTTAAATGCACAGTGTAAATACACAAAAAGTGTATGTGATTAGCAATATACAGCACATACACAAGTCCCAAAAAGAAGAAGTCAAATGATTTGAGGATTTATTGAAGAAAAGAATAATTAAGACGGAAAGCTTTCACAGTTACATTAATATGCTTTCCTGCCTTCCTTGAGCTGAGAAGAAAGCACATTGGCATAAATGGAACTATCCCCATTGCCTACCTTAGTGGTTCTCAAGGTTGGCAACTTTAAAATGTATGGGTTTCAACTTCCAGAATTGGCATGTTGGCTGGGGAGTTGAAAGGCATACATGCTTTATATTGAATTCTTGACTTTGCAATGAAAACACGATCAAGCTGAAGTGCAGATTAAATCAAAGCCTGGAAGATCTTCCAATTCCTCCAATTTATGGAGATTAGGAGTACAGTCTTTTTTCTGCTAGGTTGAAGAGAGGCCAGTTTTCTCTACCCCAGCAAGAAAAGTGTGTGTGTGTGTATGTGTGTGTTTGTAGCAATAGCACTTAGACTTATATACTGCTCCATAGTGTTGTTTTACAACACACTGAGTGGTTTATAAATGTTGGCATCTTGTCCCCAGCACTCTTGTTACCAATCTCAGAAGGGTCGAACTCCTTTCTGTGGACAGAGTTAGCCTGCAATGCTGCATTCTAACCACTGCACCACCACTATATCATATGTATATTCACATGTATGAATATATATACAGACGCGCATATATGTATGTGTTCACAAAGGCATGAATATGTGCACATGCTCTGCATTCTTCTCATAGCTATCTTCTTCTCCTACATCCTAAGGATGCTCTATCCCCCATATGCCAGACACCACTGGCTATCAATCCCATCCCAAAAGACCATCAAAACTGGAGAACTACTAACAATCAAACCCATATTTAAAGGGCGCTCCAAATATACCTATCCAGAAATTCCACTGTTTCTCTCAGGTAAGTGGGTAATGGCGTGTAGATGCACATTTCTTGTTCCTTTTTTTCTGAGATATTTTAGTCCTTGTCCCTCTGAAACTCAAAATGTATCATTTGCTCCATTTTTTTCTCCTATTATGTCTCATTTTGGGATGACATTTTTTGATGTTGGAATACCTGAGTCAGTTTTTTTTTTAAAATTGCTTCTCAAGATGCATTTGTACTCTCTGGCCCTTTACATATTAGCTAATTTTCTTCCATTCCCTTTCTATTATGTTTCCTTTCCTTTCCTATTTTTCTTTGTTCGTGAGATTATAAACCAGCAGCAAGGCTTGCTGATTTTCACCTGCTGCATAGCATTTGTTTTGAAAGCACTTTAGAAATTATATTATTACACATAATAATAAATCTTAAACATGAAGTTCACACCCTGGTAAGTGCACACAGGATGCTAGCCTGAGTCCCACCAGGGCAATTTATTTTTAAAGTGATTCAGTTCAACATAAATGCTGTGATCATCTCACATTTAACACTTGCCCATACAGCAGAAGTCTAATCTAATTCTTCATTGTTATACAACAAAAGTCTGATCTAATTCTACCTTGCTGGATCAAGTCACAAACAAGGTAATCTACATTCTGGCTAACCTCAGAACCAAGAGTTTGACTTTCATCAACTATTATTTATGAAGTTGAGAAAGAGTTCAGGGTTGAGTGCTTCTCTAGCATATAACTTCAAAATTTCATTTCTGGCTGATGTAAAAGTGTCCTCATTATGTCTGGACCAAGCAGGAAACAATTGGCTTAACATCAGTACAGTGAGCATTTAAATAAGTGCCTTGTTTTTATACAAATTTGCACAATATTCCCCATGCTCAGTTTCTAAAAGAGAACTAAAACGACCTCCTCAGTTCATTTTTAAGGTCTCAACCTGCAATTTCAATAGCAAGTCTTAATATTTATTAGAAGCGGGTTTAAGGGATATATTGAGCATAGTTAGGATGAGCAAATATAGCTAAATTTATATGTGGATAGAGATGAGATTTTTAATTATTTTTTCAGGATTTCTGAGGGAAGAATTCACCCCTCCCCAAACACACACTTTTTTTTTCCTTTTCTTTGACAAAATTAAGTACCTTTGTAAGGTACATGTATTTCTGCATCAATATATAATAAACTGAACTGAGCATTTTTGGCAACTGCATGGTCAAAATGTGATGGTATAGGCAACAATGCCAGAGAGAGAGAATCACTGATTTGAAAGAGGGGTCAAAGAGGCCATCTATGTCAAAATTGAACAGCCCTCTCTCAACAGAAGGGGAGTGATACCATCTATCTCCTGTCTACAACGTAGCAATTGTAGACTTTCAGCAATTCCAAGAAGGCCCATTTGCACTGCTCAGGTGACCAGAAAAACCTCCAAGTGGTCTCAGTGACTCTCTAAAGGAATGCAAATGACCAGCTGTCTGCAAGGAATATAAATCCTTCCATTCCCCACCATCCAGTCAGAACTGAAGAAGCTTCTTGGATAAGAAGCAAAACGTATTCAGAGAAAAACCAGAAAGTCCAGTTGCCTCCTGAAAAAAGCACCTTTGGGATGCTGGAGACTACAAACATTAATCCTGGGCCACAAGTTTCCCATTCATTTCTAATGAATATGAAATCCGCCGACAATCTGTGCAGAATGCACATGATTACTATAGCAATAGCACTTAGATTTTATATACTGTTTCACAGTGCTTTATAGCACTCTTTAAGCTGTTTACAGAGTCAATATTTTTTCTGCCAACAATCTGTGTCCCCATTTTACCAACCTCAGGATAGAAGGCTGAGTCAACCTTGAGCTGATCAGGATCAAACTGGTGACAGTCAAGGGAATTAGCCTGCAATACTGGATTCTAACCACTGCACCACCACGGCTATACAGTAAAGGCTGACAAAGAGCAAACTTAAAATGCAATAAAAGCTACAGCATAGTTTTCTTACCTATCAAGGCTTCAAAGCAGTTGGCCATTGCATGCCGCAGGTCTGACTCTCTGCATAAATCAGGTCCATGAGCATAAAGCATAAAACGATCCAGCTCCAGTTTCTACAAAACAGTGACACAGGTTATTTTGTAAAATGACAGATGTCCGAAAGAATGCACCATATGCATCATGAAGAAAGACAGGCACCAACAGGATTATGTATGGATTTCTAGGGTGATCTTTTTCAGAAAGAAGGTCAAATGGAAAAGATATAGTGAGCCAGAGACATACTTAATTGACCTGTTTGCTTGCACTAATTATTATAATCTGCAAGGTTTTGATGAATGTAGTGGATGCTAAACTAAAACTGGCAGAAATGCTGCATTAATCTCACAATACTCCAAGCGTTAGGTTGAGCCTCTAAAAACGTTTTTAAATGATGGATAACAACATAGTGGGGTTGAAATATAATAAATACAAGCCTACTTTTAAATTTGTCTCTTTTGAGTCTCATTTCCTAAGTGATGATACTCTATGTAAACAAGGAATCAAGATAACACTATTGCGACAATATTCCTGATATGCTTAACCTATTTTTTAAAGATTTATTTTTTTCAGGTGCTCAAAGCAGTGTATGTATAGATGCCCCTCCTCCTATATTTTTCTCCACAAAAACAATCTTGTACTGTAAAGAAAGTTTACTGACTGGTTCAAAGTCACTCAGAAATGGTTGAATATGGGTCTCCCCAACACTTTAAACAATAGTTTGTCAGTATGTGCACACTTCATTTATTCAGAACACATCTATATGCCTGTACCCATATTGATTTTGATGAAGAAATATTACCTAGACTGGGCTTACTCAGGGTCATTTAAATATCAACACTTTCAGCCTCTATATGAATGTCCTTTAAAAAAGTGTCTCATGTTAATTTTGGAAATCAACATTTGCATTTATTTTTAAAAGAATATATAGATTCTTGGACAAAACAGATAGGCAAAAATCTGGGTCTTAGTTTGTTACCTTCAGGAAAATGTGAGAGTGGGGATTGAAAATGGCTTGGGAATGAACCTGGAAATTGCAACTGGCAAAGTTCCATGTACTGATCACAATAGTCTTCTCTAGACAGGGGGGCAGAGCAGAAAGCATATCCTCAAATACAGTGTCTCTACTCCCAGTCAGCCACCATTCCCTCACCCCAACCATAAATGTCTTCTAGACAGCTCTCAAACACAAGCAGGATGACTATATTAAAGCATCTGGTTTTATGAATTTATGTCTTGCTGTTCATGGTATCTAATTATTGGTAGATATTTCAACAATCCGAGCATCTGAGCATTATGAAATAATAATAAATTTACAAGTGTTTTGATTCTGTTCAATATTTGCAGGTTATTTATTTCTGAAAAATATCCTACTTGACAGAGCTGATAATCAAATTGCACAATGCAGATTAATGGTGATATTAATGGATGATTAAAAGTACCTAGTGTATGTGTCCATGGGGAAGAGTAAATGTTGTACTATCAACTAATATCAACTCAGGATTGGTTCATACTTTGAGAGGAATGTCTGTGATAACTCCATTTTGAAACCAATTGGGGTGTTAATTATTAAAAGTGTAATGAAACAATCAAACGCCAAGGATCTTCCTTTCAAAGTTGCAACTTTCGTATGAAAATGAGAATGTTAATTTTTTCTGATTTTTAATTGTGTTACTGGGCGTAAATATTAACCTCTGTGCTGAACTGAACTGAAAATGACACTGATTTATGTAATGTTATGCACCCACTTTAGAGCTATTATTTGGAGCCTTTGAAATATTGGCAAGTGCTTGGTTTTAAATACCAGAAATTCTACTATACTTCCAGCAGTGAAGGCAGGCAAACATATTTTCATGATAAATAATAAGAAATTAAAATGTGATTTCTGTGCCAATAGCAATAGCACTTAAACACTGCTTTATAGTGTTTTACAGCCCATTCTAAGGAGTTTACAGAGTCAGTATATTGCCCCCAACAATTTGAGTCTCCATTTTACCCACCTCGGAAGGATGGAAGGCCGAGTCAATTCACTTCTCCCAATTTTATCAGCTGTGATAGTTCAACAGGTAAGGATCAAAGGGCAGAGAGCTGATCTATCAAGATTACAGCTTGTGGATCAGGCTTTATTTACATGCAAATTCTGAATGCATGCTACTTCACTTTGGTGGTCAGGTAGTCGGTATAGGGATTCACTCTATTTCATTACAATCTATCTTCCTCAACTAAGCAAAAGATATCTTCAAGTTTAGATTAACCTAGGCCTTTTATCCTGACGGATTTTAAATGCAGTTAGTCATCCTGAGTACTCACCACAGCAGAAAAGCAGCCTACAGCTCAATCGATACATTAAACATCCAAAGATGCTGAGCTAATTTTTAGTTTTTCTTATAACGTCCCTGGAAATAAGTTGTACATCAGTTGTACAGTTCCATGTATGTCCATGGAAATAAGTTGTACTTAAACCAACTGAAACAATTCACATTTAATGGTAAGCACAACTGTTTTACCTTCACATGAGGTTAAGCCACAATGTGGTTTGTGAGGGAGGTGTTTTCTCTCTTTCATATATAAATAAAAATCACATCAACAAAATAAACCACGATTATTTTTTGCAATAAACTCCATTTAAAAAAATAATAATAATGTGTGAATTATGAATCTTGCCTCCAACTATGGAACATTACAAATTACTCTAGAAACTGTGATGTTCTTGTTAGACATTTATTGGCTTCCTCTCTTGTAGATACCTCCCTCTCCCTGCAGTATTGGGAGGTAGGTGACCATTGGCTGAGTATTACATGATTATTTTGCTCATATGTAAAAGTAGCTTTGGACTTGAGGTAATAAACATTGGGTTAATGTTATCTGCAAACCAATCTCTGCCTTCACTTTTAGCATTAACACACATCAAAAAAGTTTCCATTATTGTTTCATTGAAATACATGTTGGCCATTAAATCAGAGTGTATGACCATAGTTTGAAGCTGATTTGCATACTGTGCTTCTGAGGGAATTGGATTTGTTATTATTATTGGATTTGTTATTATTATGATGACGAATATTAGTTTGAGCTAATATCCATTCATTATGGAACCAATAATTCTGATAGGAAAAGGAAACCAATTAACTGAATGAAATTATATATTCATTAAACTATAATTATAAACCCGTAGGGGTTGTTTGTAAAACTTGCCAAACCAGAAACAAACATAACACTTTATGCTTATTCCAACTTTGCAAATCATGGTCGGCAAGAAATCAGAATTACTGGATTCTTAAGGAGAAGAAGAAAAAAATCAAATTGTTCGGTGAGAATGTAGACAATACCATTATATTACACGCTTTTATTTGCTGAAAAACATGCATTAAAACTTAAGAATACAGGGATAAAAGCAAAATTATAGAACATTTTATTGCTTGTGTAAATAGATTCTAGTAGTATTCTTTTCTCTCTCAAAAAAAGCAGGCAAACTTTCAAGCATCTCTTTCAAAGATATTGATACCTTACTCCACAGCTCCACCTAGGCTTTCATTTCTTTTGAAATGTAGATTCCTGATTAGAAATCATGTTATCTGCTTATCTTCTTTTAAATGAAAAGGTCTGTGCAATTTATGGTAATTCTGGCCTAGAAAATTTACTAGGCTTCTACTGTTATTCATTCATCCTATATAGCAGAAAGTGTTTTAGTCATCTGTATTGCCTGTATGCGTTAGAAGAGTTCACTCGGCACTTTTGTGTGTTTCTATTGATCAGTGTATTTCATGTTTCCCTTCCTAAAAATATTTCATGGACATGATTACGTCACCGAAACATACAGCTCCAGAATATTAAATAGGGTTGCACATATTCTGAAACTAATTTGGATCTTGTTAAAATCAATCATACCCCTTCCATGCATTAAATAAAGACAAATTCTTATGAGGCTTTGGGCATACCCCTCCAAAGGTGCCTTTATTCTAAGAGTTGCGTGAACCACAATGAGTAAACTCCTTAAAGAAGCAGCACCCTTTTTCCCAAGCTTATGCAGGGAGCTTTAATGATCAGGTAGGAGATTCTGTCCTTGTGTAAGGTCTGAAACATTTTCCCCACATCACTTTGGAGGCACAAGCATTAGAAATGTAAGATTTTTCAGAAATATTCAGGATTTTTTCTTTTTCTTTCTTTCTTTTTTGAAAAATGGAAATTACAAGAGAAATATACACAAACACACACACAGAGTAAATGTCAGTCTCCCTGTGCCCTGAATTCAAGGCCGCTATCTAAACCAAGGGTCTTCAAACTTGGCAAGTTTAAGACTTGTGGACTTCAGTTCCCAGAATTCCTGACCTAACATGACTGGAGGAAGAATTTTGGGAGTTGAAGTCCATAAGTCTTAAATTTGCCAAGTTTGAAGACCCCTGGTCTATATTCACTCCAATGCACAACATTCTTTTTTATTTCACTGATTGCTGATATACAAGTAGTACTCAACATATGACCAGTCACTTAACAACCATTCAAAATTACAATGGACCTCCCCAGACCTATGTATGACCTGTTTTCAGGGTTACGTTGATCACACAAGCACAGATGGCCACTCAATTGCACTTTAGGTGCTTGGCAATCAGCTCACCTTTACAGATGTCTGTAGCACCCCACAGTCGTATGGCTTACTTTGTGACTCCCCCCCGGTCCGCCCAGAAATACAAATTACTTCCAATTTCTGTCCAAAAAAACCCACAGGGGGAAAAATAAATTCGCTATCAAAATATGGCACTCGCTTAATGACTGCCATAAAAATGTTGTAAAATTGGCTCTGCCCATGCAATGCATTTTTACGACTGTAGGGACTTAGGACAGTTTCAATTACAGCCAAGGGCTACCTGTCAACTTTGGAAGCCACATTAACACCAGATACTTCCACACCGCCACATTCTTGAGGCTGGGAAAATGGGACGGGGGAATTTCTTGGAATGTATGTGGTTAGACAGAATAGCATTCTTCTTCTAAGTCAAGGTCATGTTATTTCTGCACCTGGGTGAGGGGACGTCTCAAGTTGGGACGGATGGTGATTGGGGCATGTGATGCAATGAGAGGT